AAGAGCCACCAATCCTCATCAGTTCCCTTGTTTTTGCCTGGGATATTCTCCCTAGAAGTTATTTTAAAAATAACTTCTATGACAAAAAAACATTTTTTACCCAAGTGACGAGATCGTAAGCTCAATAGAAGAGGAACCAGAGGAGGCTGAACGAAAGCTTAACAAGTGGAGAAAGATGTAAATGTTTATAAGTGCGGTTGTAAGATTTAGAAGACCTTCCAAGAGAATTTTAGTTTTATTTAATTCTTTGGTTCCTCTTCTATTGAGCTTACGATCTCGTCACTTGGATAAAAAATGTTTTTTTTGTCATAGAAGTTATTTTTAAAATAACTTCTAGGGAGAATATCCCAGGCAAAAACAAGGGAACTGATGAGGATTGGTGGCTCTTTCCGAAACCTAGGTATTCCCTGCCTTACCCCCTGGTAAACATTACCATCGTTCTCCACTAATAAACAAACGTTGTTTTTATAAAAACAACAATAAAGGGATAAAGCCAGACCATTTTGCAAAAACAAAATACTACGGTATCCCGAACAAACAAGCCACACGATTCCCCCTTTATATTTCAATGATATCACAATAGATTCACTCGAATTACATCAAAGAACTAAAAACAATGCAAATTTTGTGCCAGTTAATCTATCGATTCTAGCGCATTTTTTAGTTCTATTTTAGTTACTTGTACCATCGGGGGCACACAAATTTAGTTAAATATTCTCACAAAAAGAAAAAAAAAATGTCTCGGAAGAAAAGATCAGCGCACTTAAATTAACTCTGATTTAAATTTAGAATTTATTAGAAGTCTCCACGGCAGCGACAACAGCAGCTTCATTCATTTATTCGTTTTCCAGTCTATTCGTTAATGTGATGAAGAGGAGGCATCAAATATTTCAAATGAATCTTCGTGTTTCCAATGCGCTCATCTCAAAATTAGCCTCTGATAAACCCGAGACAATTTCTTCGTGTGTAGATTAGTTTTGCCACAGTTCATTGACTTTTGATACGATTTTGAGATAGGTCAAGGTAAATTTGTGACGAAATCAGGAAGACAAGTTTATATGGCAAAAAATAGGAAGTCTGCCAATGTATAAATCGTGGCTTATAAGTTATAGATATTTCGTTTCATCCTTGAGCTCTATTTTAAAACATAAACATATTATAAATATACAAAACATAGAAAAAAAAAGAAGAAATATTTATATTAAAAGTTTCAAATAACTTTTGAAGTCCGTTAAATAAATCTCTAAAACTCACAACTTTTTGTAGAAGTCAAATTAAAAACGACAATCTGCCCGAATTGACTAACCAAACAAGTAAAATTGTCAGACATGTCGATGGTAAGGAAAATGTACAGGACATCAGTAGTAGAAGTTTCTTACCGATTGATAGACAAATGTCCATTTTGTTGTACTACTTGAAAGGTTTAAGTGTAAAAAATTTAGGAAATGGACGATTCAAAGCAATGCCGAAATGTGCATATATAATATGATGGGATATCGGATACCTTTTGACTTGACCTCGAGAAACCCAATTAAACAGGGGCTTTAGAAATTCGTACTGGAAATTTGTGAGAGCTAAGTTTGAGAAACAATTCTACACTTTAAGGACTAGAATCTTCAAAATTTCACATGTAGCTTACTCTTAACACGATGAGACATTTGGTAGGAAGATATTTTTGCTCATTCGTACTTAGACTAAAATTCTATACTTTAAGAGCTACTAAAAACAGTACAAGATATTATGCTTTTCGAGCCAGGGTTCTAATTTGTTTAGCTTTGTCTGACAATGCATTCAATTGCTGCCAAAATCGTATATAATTGGTACTAAAGAATACCAAAATGTACTAAAAATTAGAAGGACGATCTATAATTCTTAAATCTATCATGGAATCACTTCTGGTGAGGAGGAATCATAAATTGTAAAAAAACTCCTTGCTTCTAGACTAAGAATTTTGCCATTTCGTACTAATACGTACTGAAAAGGTACCAATATTACAAATTCGAAGGAGTTAAGCAAGAATCTTAAAATTTTTGGCACTTAAATGTAAATAAATATTTTGTGTCGTGTACCATCGTTACCGTGATACTGGTAGTGTAGCCGACGACAAGGAAGAAAACAGCAACATCGGCAGAAATGGTTCGAAATATAAAGAAGCGGCTTGATCGAAACCCGCGTCGCAGTGGCCGAAAAATGGCTCGAGAGCTGAACATATCGCACTATTCCATTCGGCAAATATTGAAACAGAACAGAAACAAAATAGACTCAAAAGAGCTAAAGAGTGCTTCGCTTGACCAAAAGTGGTGAACTGCCGAATTTGGTTTTCTCCGATGAGAAAACATTCGTTGTCCAGCAGTTTGTGAACAAATCGCGCTTCGCCGGAAATGGACCAAAATACCGCAGAGCAACATTCGGGCAGCGTGTGATGGTTTCGTTGACCGTTTGAATGCCATAACTCGTGCCAAAGGTGACCAAATCTAAACTTATTCCAAAATTTGATGCTACTTCCGTTTGAATGCCATAACTCGTGCAAAGGTGACCAAATCCGTCATTTTTTGCTTTCATTTTCAATATAATTAAAAAAATGTAAAAATGATGGAGTTTGACTTTGTTGCAGTTATTTTTAGCCCACCTTGTATTTTTAATCCTGGCGAAAATACACAAATACACAAATACATTAAAAGGTAATTTCTGACCATTAAGGTGATGCTGATAACCAAGAAATCCGATTTATAGCAAAATAGGTAGAATATATATTTAAAAGAAATAGATCCTATTTATTCTGCTTATAAGTAAAAAACCGCTGGGCCGATTTATACAATTCATCATCAATTCGAAAAGGTCTCTTACCAGAAAAGAATAAAATCTAAGAATACCGCGAAAAAATTCCAATAAAAAAGAGAGTATCTTGTGTTCCATTTTTTTTCAATTTTTCTCATATTTTTTACCACTTGCGATTTTTTCAATTTGACTTACAATTTTGAATCGTAAATTTTCTAAATTTTTACACCCCGCAACACTACGTTTTGAGGGTATTACATACAATTATCGTCGATCCTCACGAAATTTTGCATGGGGGTAGCGTTATGTTCAGATTTAAAGCCTATTGTTTTTTAAAATGTATGTTTAGGGGTTCAAATGGACCAAAAATTCAAACTTTCCTGATCTTGCAGTGGCTCTACACGTCACAATTCGAAAACCAATCGAAACGGAATTATGCCTGAGAAAAGAAATGCCTGAGGGAGAAAGTCTAGCATTTTGCATGACAACACGACGAAGTGAGTAGATATTGGGCAAATGCCCTCCGTCAAAATACTAAGGGTACCATCTGGACGGGGTTCTATGACATAATTTCCAAAACGAAATCTTCCAAAATGGATTTGGACATAAGAGGGCTTCCAACATATTGTAGTGTTGTAGGGCATCACATGGTCGGCCCCGCACGACTATAGCCTTTGCCTCCTTTTTATAACCTCCACCATAGTATGGAGGGTATACTAAATTTGTCATTCCGTTTGTAACACTTCGAAATATACAATTTAGACCCCACAAAGTATATATATTCTTGATCAGCATAAAATTCTATGTCGATTTAGCGATTTCCTTCCGTCTGTCTGCCTGTCCGTCTGTGGAAATCACTCTAGCTTCCGAACGAAATGAAGTAGATTGATTGATTTGGTATTGAAAGTAGGTCCACGTTTTGGTATAGCCCACATATAGCGGTACCTCCCGATATTCGGTACTTTGTTAATTTTAGCGACATTATTCACCGGAATTGTTTCAAATTTGGTATTTGAAGTTCAAAATGGATAATACAGCCTAAGACAGGAAATTGTCTGGGCAGGTCCACGTCTTCGTACAGCCCCCATATAACGGTACCTCCCGATATTCGGTATTTTAATGATTTTATGGACATTATTCACCGGAATTGTTTCAAATTTGGTATTTGAAGTTTGTAATGGATACTACAGGATATGAAAAAAATGTCTGTGCAGGTCTACGTCTTCGTATAGCCCCCATATAACGGTACCTCCCGATATTCGACATTATTCACCGGAATTGTTTCAACGTGGTATTTGGAGTTCGTAGCCTATGCAGGCCAATGTCTTCGCATGACCCCCTCCCCCCATATATCGATACCTCCCTATATTTGGTATTTTGATGATTTAAGCGACATTATCAATCGAAATTGTGACAAATTTGGTATTTAAAGTACCTCCCGATATTCGGTATTTTGATGATTTTAGCGACATTATTCACCGGAATTGTTTCAAATTTCGTATTTGAAGTTCGTAATGAATACTATAGCCTATGACAGACAAGTGTCTGTGCAGGTCCACATTTTGGTATATCCCCCATATAATAGTACCTCCCTATATTTATGATTTTAGCTACATTATTCACCGATTTTTTTCAAGATTCGCATTTGAATATTGTAATGACTTATGACAAAAGTTGCCTATGCAGGTCCACGTCGTCATTTAGACCCTAATATGACGGCTGCGTTTGGTATTTTTAAGATTATAAAAGAATTTCAACGTATTTTATTTATTTAATCTTATTATTATTTTTTTTTTTGAAAATTCGTTCTAAATGGTGAAGGGTATTCAAAGCTTAGCCCGGACGAACTTACAGTTTTTTACTTGTTTTATTTTTTTAGAGATTTTTTTCTTTGGTTACTTATAGTGAAATTTGATGAAGACTAATTTTATCTTTTACGTCATCTTTTTGAGTACGGCTTTAAATCAAAAATGTTTGTGAATTCCTGACGTTTAGGTAAATTTAGACTTTTGATGCATTCTGGGTCCTATAGTATAATATTTTGATTTATCCCCTTTGAAGTATGTTTTAAGCATAATTAAAAAAATAATATAATTATGATAAGATTTGTAACATAGAAGTCAGTCAAAGTTTTAAAAATCAAATCAAATTCTTGAAAAAATTACATGAAGAAGAGATTTTGAAACTATAATTATTTTTATCTTGAAGTATAATGATATTACCTTGTTTTTTTTTATTTTTATATTTCTTAGTTGTGCGCCTCACAGTAGTCTCTCTCGTAAAACGTGTTTCGTCTAAAAACTTCTATTATTTTACAATTAACAACTTTGTTTGTGTTGAATATTTAGCTTGTCATTGTTTTTATTTTTCTATAAATATGATGATTGGCCATAGATCATATTTATCTTTATCAATAATATTACAATGTTTTATTAACACCTTTTTAAGAAAAAACAATTCACAATTCGAAAAATCTACAAGTGATAAATTTAATATAAATGTTTAAAAAATACGCTAAGTTTCAAAATAATACTACAAATGTGAATGGAGTGACACAGTTTCGCCGTTATTGTTTGGCACAGTAATTTTTTTTTTTGTGATTCTGGTTTTTATTTTGTTCTGGTGCACCTTTCTTCTTGTTCCGCTTTGTTATTCAATTTTTTTATTTATTATTTTATTTTCTTTTTTATTCAAATGTAACAAAAAAATTATGACTACCACACACTCTTACACGCACAGAATTAAGTTTGGATCCACACTAAAAACATACACACACACTCTTGCAAAGGCTTTCACTGCGTCCGATTATGTAGGGGCTGATGCGTTTAATTTCGTTTTTTTTTTTTTTTTGGAATTTTTATTTCAAAAATTGCTATGGAAAGGTGTGTTTATTTGATTTTTGTTTTTATTTCTATTTCGCTTTTTTATTTCCTTTTATTAAACGTACCGGAAGTTGTTTTTCTTTTAATTTCCTATATGCGAAAGGATAATCCTCGTTCGTACAATATCCGTTTTACAAAATCACAAAGTGTCGTTTCGCTATCTGTTGTTGTTTTTTTTTTTTTTGCTTCTTGTTGTTCCAGTTCTTATAGCAACTCGTTCGAATGGTTAAAAGTAAAATTTGCAACTGATCAGATAGCGCCTAGCCATAATCCATAGGTGCTGCCGTACCATTTGAAAAATTCAACTCAAATTCTCAACTCAGTAAAGACGGCAACAACAAAAACAACAACATCATCATCATCAATGGAAGAAAAATTGTTTTTCACTCTCAGCCAGTGGCTGTTCCGTTACTTAGTTCTGCAGCAACAATAACAACAACAACAACATCAGTATATAGCAGAATTGATATATCTCTAAGCAGCAGCGACTCACAATATGAACTAAAACTGATTTCAAAGCTCACACAACGATAATCCATCCATCCATCTATCCGTCCACCCAACCAAACAGGCAGGCAGCCAGCCAGCCAGTCATCCCTCCATTCATTTCTCACACACAAAGCAAATAAGCGAGCGAGCGGGCGAGCAAGCCAGACAGCGAACAAAACAACCTAGACCACCTAGCTGGTGGCTCTGGCTGGCTAAGCGACGAGCAAGCGAGCTACAATTCAGTCACTATCATTCGGATCATTTTGTTTGTTTGCTTGTTAAAGTAGTGGAAGAATATCTGCTCGCCATATGCGTAGCCTCTCTCACTCTCTATCTCACACATAATGCCGCTCTCTCTAACTCTCTCTCAAATCTTATCACAGTTTATGGCTGTACGGATAAAAATCACTCAATAAAAATTAGCAGAGATAATACCAGACACTAAGTTTTACGGTTACGGTTGTTGTTCTTGTGTTTTTATTAGTTTGGGGATTTTATTTTGTTTACACGCACCCACACACACGCACACTCGCATCCATTTATATTGATATTCATTCATATTTACAAATAAGGGCCATAGGCGATGTGGTCGATCGGTTGTTACCCTACACATTAGACGTAGAGCTTCAAAATTTTGCAGAACAATTTGTATTGTGTCTAGGATGGTTGGTATTGAAAATGAGATATGTCGGTCCACAGTTTGGTACAGCCGCCATATGACGGTAACTTCCGATATTCGGTATTTTGAAGATTTTCGCCAAACTTTTCCACGGATTTGTCCAAAAATTGGTATATGTAGTTCGCAATAGGTTCTAGCTCAGGTGGGAGAAGATAGTATGTATAAGTCCACGTTTTCGTATAGCCCCCATGTAACGGTACCTCCCAATGTTCGGTATTTTGACGACTTCGCCACATTTTTTTACGGATTTATCTAGAAATTGGTATTTGTAAGTCATAATGGATTCTAGCTCCGGTGGCGGAACATAGTATTTTACGGTACCTTCCGATATTCGGTATTTTCATGATTTTTGCCACATTTGTCCATGGATTTGTGTAAAAATTGGTATTTGCAATTCGCAATGGGTTCTAGCTCCGGTGGCGGAACATAGTTGTATAGGTTCGGGTTTTGGTATAGCCTCCATGTAACGATACCTCGTTTTTTTTTATTTTCGCCACATTTTTCCACGGATTTGTCTAAACATTGGTATCTGTAGGTCATAATGGGTTCTAGCTCCGGTGGCAACACATTGTATGTATAGGTCCATGTTTTTGTATAGCCCCCAAATAACGGTACCTTCCGATATTCGGTATTTTCATGATTTTTGCAACATTTTTCCATGGATTTGTCTGAAAATTGGTATTTGTATTTCACAATGGGTTCTAGCTCCGGTGACGGAACATAGTATGTATAGTTTCACGTTTTTTATAGCCCCCATGTAACGGTACCTCGGCATTTTGTTGATTTTTGCCACATACTTTTACGGATTTATCTTAAAATTGGTATTTGTAGGACCTTTGGACCAAATCCGTTTTAGGATATTTGGAGTCGATTTAGCAATGATCGTCCATTCGTATGTCTGTCTTTCTGGCTGACTGGTGCGCACGAAGGAAGTATCCGATTTGAACCAAACTTGGTACATCGTAATATTATTATCAACCTAGATCGAGTTCGGAGATGAGCAATATCGGTCCACTCCTTTTGGTACCTTCCCCACAAAATGTTAACATTTTCAAAGAAAATATTTTACGGCACAGAAAGAAAAAGGATAATTCGATTTTGCTCCATCTTTGAAAAATACTAATATTTGCATCAGTGCTAGGTCAGGTGCCAAAATGGACAATACCGGTTATTGAATAATTATATAACTTATAATTTGCGAAAAAAGCATCCGATTCTCTTTAAATTTCACACATGCCAATATTTTTGTCAACACATGATCTGGTATTAATATGGAATATATCGGTCGACCCCTTCTGGTACTTCCCCTACAAAGGGCCAACATTTGGGATATTCATAAAGCTCATAAAACGCGAAATTAACATCCGATTCCATTCAAACTTGGTACGTCTCAATATTTCGATCAACACATGATCTGTTAGAGATCTGTGGAGATCGGTCCACTCCTTCTGGTACTTCCCCCACAAAATGTCGAAATTTTGAATATTCATTAAGCTCATAAAACGCGAAATAAAATCCGATTCCATTTAGACTTGGCACATCTGAATATTTCTATCGACTCAGGATCTGCTATAAAGGCGGTATGGACCATTCCTTCTTGTACCTTCCCCACAAAGGGTCGAAGTTTTGAATAACCAAAACGATCATTAATTCCGAAATTTTTACAAACACAAAAAATTTTGTGAAGATGGGATATATCGGTCCACTTCTTCCCATACCTCTCTCACAAAGGGTCAAAATATAGAATATCCATGAAGCTCATAAAACGCGAAATTAACATTCGATTCCATTCAGACTTGGTACATCTCAATATTTCCGCCAACACAAGATCTGTTTTAAAGATGGTACAGATTGGACCGTTTCTTCCCACATAGGGTTCAAGATTTGTGAAAAAAAAAACTCAAAAAAAATATGCCCCTTGTCTCACCCACAGTGACCCTTATGGAACAAATTCATAAGCTCAGTTCTATTCTTACACTATATGTATATCAAATTTAGTACTTTTCGTACACTATAAATTACGAATTTTCAAATCCACCTCCATACCTTAACCATTTACACTCACAGTGCTCCTAACCATTTTATGCCCCATCATCATTCCTACAGTCTATGCCAAAAATCTGAATGCTACACCAGCAGAGTGATCTCTTTACCATATACCAAAGCTAGCACCATTTAGTTTTAGACGCTTTTAGACTATTTTTGTGGGGTTATGTTGAAGCTCATGTCTATACAGACGAACCCGCTTCAATTAACACATTGGAAGAAAACATTGAAGAATTTATTCGTGTAATACCGGCCCAAATGTAGGAAAGACATTAAACTAAGGGGATGGACAATTTAAAGATAGGTCGCTGTTAAAATTTGGATGAAATAACCTTCATAAATTAAAAAAAAAAAATCAGCATTTTTGTAAATTTTATGTTTTAAACTTTTCCATAGCGCTCATAAAATCACTCATTATTTCATTTCCTATTAAATTTACACAAAAGCCAAATAAAAAGTTTGCGACCGCAACTACTTCTGCTAAGGATTCAGAATGATTTAGGGTGTTGTAATGGATACTGGACCCGCTCTCTATGATTCTTCCCTTTTACATTCTCACATACTTTACATAAATACAAAATTTGCAAGATGGGGTTAGTATCTTTAGCATTTTGTATTTATTATTTATTTTTTTGTTATTATTATAATTTCTTTTTTAATTTCTTCTAATAACATATTGTTCTAAATAACTTCTTAAAAAATATTCCAACGGCAACACTGATCAACATCCCCCATTGATTATTTCCTTTTGTTGTTGTTGTTCTTGTTGTTTTCACACAGCACGTTTTTGTGTGCTTCATTTGTTTTCTCTCACAACATTCAAATACACACATGTACGCACATACATTTGCATGTTAACATAACACACACACACTCAACTCTTTTCTCCACTCAAGCATCATCCGCTCAAAATCATGTCTGCGGATGTTTGGGTGGGTACAGGTGAGCGTATGAGTGATATTTGCTTGGAATCCAACGAAAGAATACAATTTTTGTTTTTTTTTTTGCACATGTGGGTTTTATTATTTATTTACTATTTGTATTATTGGTTTTATCTTTTTTTACACAATTATTTAAGTTATTGTTTATTTTATTGACATTCACATAAAGTTAATAATATTATTTTGTTTTTGGATTGTTTTTTTTATCAACGTTTATCTTTGCATCTATGAACGTAGGAATGTTAATCAACGCGATCAACGGCTATGACTAAACTAACTCAGGTCTGCTTCTTCTTCTTCTTCTACGGCACAACAGATGACATTTGACATCAAGTGAAAGAGAAAGTGAAATGAGGATTTGTCATCATTTTGTTTTGATGGGTTGTATTTTTGATGAGATTTGAAAGAATTTGAAAATTGGCGAATGTGTGAATGTGGATTGAGGAACATGTGATGTTTAAGAATGTAAAGTAAAGAAGATTGGAGCAGTGTTGACATTTATTTGTTGGGATACCGTGTTTTTATATCCTACACCACATCGTTGTAAGAGTATTATGTCTTTGTGCATTTGTTTGTAACATGGAGAAGGAGACGAGATTGGCCCATAGTTACTTTTGAGGATATTCAGAGAATCACTTTTTGAGTCGATTTATGTTTATGATTTAAACAAAATGCAGGTCGCATTTATTATCCGATTGGATGAAATTTTGCAAACAATATTTATTTGGCCCAAGGTGGAATCCTATTGAAATTGGAGATAATCTGTCAAAATTTAAAAATATGCGTTTTATTGTGGACCAAACGTGTAATATTAGGCCAAATTGGATGGAATTTGGTACATATAGGGTGAGATGAAAAAACTGTAACCAACTTCAGACTACTGTAATTTCTAACTCACTCGTCCGACTCAAATATACTCAAAAGAGCTAAAGAGTTGCTTCGCTTGGCCGAAAGTGGTGAACCTCCCGAATTTGGTTTTCTCCGTCTCCGATGAAAAAACATTCGTTGTCCAGCAGTTTGTAAACAAACAAAATGATCGTGTTTACTCGCCAAAGAGGTCAGCTGAAAATGTGCACCTTCGGATGGCGACCAGAACTCAAGGGCCAGCCATGGTGATGGTGTGGGCCGCCATAACAGCCGATGGTTGCTCTCCGCTTGTATTAATCGACCGTGGCGTCGAAATAAATGTCGAATATTATCGCGAAAATATTCTTGAGGGTGTTCTAAAGTCTTGGGCACGCAAATATTTTGGCCGCAGACCTTAGACAACAACAGGATTCAACACCATCGCACTCACCACGCGCCAACCAAGAATGGTTACAAAATGAGGTTCCTCGCTTCACTTCCAGGATGCTTTTTCCGATATTTTTTGCTTTCATTCAATAAAATTAAAAAAAAAAATGTAAAAATTATGTCTTATGACATTGTTACAGTTTTTTTTTTATCTTATCCTGTATATCTTTAACCGATTTCGGGTTAATTGTGACCAAATGGCCAATATCAGTCCAAAAGTCC